GCTATCAGTTTTATCTAGCTGCACAAAAATGATAAGCATAACTAGTGCAAGAAATATCACTTTATTGAAGATTTGATAGAACTAATGAAATGACTTAATTTGGTTTCTTGTGGAGAAAACATTTTAATACGGTTTTCAAATCTTTTCCAAAGATTTTGATTCAGATTGCCTCCTCTTCTTGGGCCAATGTTGGTCACTTATATTTTCCCAGAAAAGCATTCATATATATATTTCATATCTATAACTAAGATTTTCATATACATAACTAATGTTTTCTTATTTTAAGCTTCCATCTATCTAGTTGAAGCCCCTTTCTCATTTCCAATGTTGTGTATTTGAGGTTTTCTATTTTGTCCTATATTGCCATTGCCAGAAATTGTTGATCTTTTAAAGAAGCAGCTCTTATATTTATTCATTACTTCCTACTGTTTCTCCATATTCTTCTTTATTGATATTTTCTTTTTACTTCCCCTAAATTAGCTTATTTTATTGCTTCTTTCTAGCTTCTCAGATTGGATGATTACTTAGATTCTTACAACACAGAACAAAAATGACAACTAACTTACGGTAGCAAAATCTCTATTATCCACAGAAATGATCCCCTCTATTATGTAAGATAATCAAGAATTGATTAAACCACATTAAATTTATGATCTGCATTCTGAAATCTAATGCCTAATGAAATATTCAATGTTCTATTGAATTACCTGTTTAAATACCTTTGGAACAGACTGACGGGGACAAATCTATAACAACAATGAAAGAACATCGACTGAGTATTTTTCAGCCTAGAAATCAATTATGTTTCAGATGGCAGTGAGTGGTGCAGTTAAAAGGTTGAAAGTCGACTATGTACTTATAAAATCTGACAGTGTGAATCACTGAACAATAGTCCATCTGCTTTGTCCTGGAAATTTATTATACTTGAAAAGAAAAACCAACATCATAATGCAGATCTGTTAAATCTGGTCTCAAAAAAGTTAACTAGTGTCAAGTACTGGATTTTAATAAACTTGGCAAGATAAATAAAAGGCTAAAATATAAGGCTATACAATAAGTATACTACATCTATTGCTATTAAGAGTAGAATTAAGTACTGTTTTAAATTTAACATTATATGACTATTACATAAGCATGGATTGAAGTGATATCAAAACAATATTATAATTAATGGATTTAGATAATTAAAAATGCTTTCTGCAGCACTTTCTTCTTGAAAGCGACTCAGCTCAGTTTTACAAATCCACTGATGATCTAACAAAATTCTACAGCATGAGTTCAGTAAATTCAGCAAATCTCATAAAAAAATTAACTTACAGTCTCTATTAGATTTAATTCCAACTATTTTATTTCTACATATAAAGGTGATTTCAATTAAATTTTTTTCTGAATTTGTAAGATATGTATTGAGGTTTTTTTTCCACACTCTTAGTTTATTTCTGCCAGCTTGAGCAGAAATACTATTGTTTCGTGGATGTAGCGTCAGAGCATCTTAAGTTCAAATACTGACTCCTCTACTATTTGTATGACCTTATACAAATTACCTCTGAGTTTCATTTTCCCCATTTTGTAGTCTTCATCTGAAGACAAACTGGGATAATATGTGTAAAGAACTAGGAAGAGTGCTTGGCATTTCGAAGTAATTCAAGTAATTTCTACCAAAGAATGAAAAAAAATTAAAATTATTCCATTATTTTATAAACAGGATATATAATTATTTGTATGTACCTCTCAGATATATTTGATATTAATCCTCCAAAAAATTATCCTCAAAGTTTTAAAATCTTGTAAGGCAATCTTCCCTAAACTTCAGATATAACCACATACCATTTGTACCATTGTTTACTTAGTGTTTTCCCAAATCATTCTTTTTTTCTCTATCTTCACCTAGAACAATAGATATGCTATTTAGATATGCCAGTTATATTTTTTAAATATATACATAAAAATAAAATTATCAGGATTAATTTAAGGATTATCTCTGACCTAGAATCATCCTGTATCTGGCCAGCGGTGGTGTACTTCACTTTTTAATGATTACTGTTTTGAAGTTACATAATAATGTATGCCTCCAGATTATTTTCCTAATAAAATGTCTAACAATATCAAATTTTTGCAATGATTTACAAAGCAAGTAGGTTTACCAACAGCGAATGTGTTCAAAAAATCTAGGTTATTGATTAAAAGTTAAGTAGAGGATCTAACAGGAGCTTATGCTCCCCCCAAGCTTCTAAAATTCATTAATAAATTAACGCCTGCTACTGCCACAAACGAGTGTTATCAGGTTCAGTTTACTGGTAAGACTGAGCAAGGAATATTCCTTTTCTTTCAGGATTTGAAATAGAACAAGGAACAATTTCTGTATATCACAGAAAATTACGTAATGAAAATAGAATCTACGTCTCAAAAGAAAAATTTTTTATTTGTCTAACAGTCTCTAACTGTTCATGAGAAAACTTGGCCTTTTTCCTACCTATGTAAATAAACAGAAAAAAAGTTTGTTCCTAAGGATATATGATACCAGATATATTTATAATATGTGTTGCAAAAGATCTATCTCGGTGTATTCTACTGATATTTGATTAAAAAATTATTGAAGAATTCACCTATTTTGAAATATAATTATTGAGTATCAGAATTCTGTCAACCACATGGGTTATATAATCCAATATTTCAAATCACTGCCAGTATTTTTTGTGGAATTTAAGTCTCTCCATTTGAGTTAACAGTTAAATGTAGTTTAAAAATCTATCATATTAGTAAAAATATTTTGGAGCTATATATGGCATTTATGACATATCCTATTTCCTACGATTAGGGGAAAAAAACTGAACTTGTTAATAACCACTTCTCCAGCAAGGATTTTTCTTTAGAGTTTGGGGAGGTCTATCCATATACTTTCATAGTGTATATATGCACCCACAGAGAAAGTTTTATAAGATGCAGCTTTTAAATTACATGTAAAGTGGATTTGTCTAATTGAATGAATTTCTCTTCTCAGCAAAGAGTAGGCCAGGATAGACACATTTCATTTTTCTTTCAACCTTGCCCAACAGCTTTCAGTAAGAAGTAGGTAACTTTTTAACCGGTGGCTGTGGGTAAGAGAGACAAAAACAAGTTTAATGAAGAGGTGTGGGTTGTTCAGCTTACTTTCTCCCCTGAAAATGTATGGAGAATGTGCACCAGAAGAAAACTGGCATCCCATATTCAAGGTAAGAAGCCCCTTTTACAATATTGTCAGACGCAAAAAAAATGAAGAACATTTACATAAATTTATCAAACTGATAAGGTTTTTATGAAATAAAAATACTATTAATTAATACTACAGTAACTTCACATTATTTACATGAAGAGGACATGAGGAAAATCCCTTTGTAGAAGTATCTAGATATATTCATTCGAGTAAAGAAAAAGATGCAAATTCAAATTATTTCAAGGTAAAGGATGGTAATATATATGGTGAAGCATGAAACACAGCAGATAGTATCAGGAATTGGGCAAACTGGAGAAAGTATGCTCCATCTGAAAGCATTCCACGTAAAAAAAGAGAAATAAACACTGTGCAGGTCAATACAAAACACAGGCTGACCTAATTTAGACCACAGGCCATGAGATAGGGATCCCAGTGTTAAACTCTAGGACGTTAAAGACAAGGTAAATGTACAAACAGGAAGTTTTCTTAAAAATCTAGAGTTTTTTCTGTGTATTTTTATTCATTTTTTGTATCTATGATTTTAGATTTAGCCAGTACAAAATATTTAGATGTAACCAGAGCACAAATATATATTAAAAATTAAGTATACAAATTAGTTTGAAACTGTCAATATTACATAGCATTCATTAAACACAAGCAGTAGACCACTTATTTTGCCTGGTCCCTTCTTACAGGGAATTGATCCTCCTTTCCATTCCAACTCTGGAGGCACTGTCAATGAAGGTGTCTTACAGCCCCTGCCACACTGCCCAATTTTCATTCAAGAAAGGACACAGGATCCCAGGAGGGTCAGTCAAAGATCTTTTTCCAGAATTAACAGAGACACCAAGACGTTTCCTTCTGAGATTGATAAGAGTCAGGATGCTATATGCATAAAGGTACAGAAGTCACCTTTCCCATTGATATAGACAGAGTCCCACCAAGAATGGAGTGAACCCAGAAGAAACCAGAGCCACAAAAATGGAAACAAATTCCTGCAACATAATAGAGCACCTGGATCTAATTGTGCTGACATCTAGTCAACCCCAGGGATTTTCAGTTACGGGAGTTAATAAATTCTCTTTTGTGTTGAAGCGAGTTTAGACTAGGTTTATATTACTTAAAAACAAAAAAGTGTCATAATATAAGAGACAAAGAAGGGATTTCAGTTTAATTTAAATTTATCCACTCAGATCTCATTGTATCTTCTAGGGCTTTCCATTCAAAGAACAGAAGCAATTTTCCCTCTATATATTTCTCTAACTCAACATATACAAATACTCTAAATTATCTTACTATCCCCACCTAATCATCAGTACCTTTGGAGAGGAGGGATAAAAGAAGAACTATTATCTTATTTGCTAAGTCCCCAGGTTTAGTACATATTCTATATATACTTGGATAAAAGCAATTTTTTAATAGAGGACAAAAATCTATCATTATTAATAATCAAGATATCAATTATATAAAGTATCATACATACCAGGCTTATTTTATGAACCCAACTAAGCATTAATGGAATAAACTTAAAAAAAAAAAACTGAAAGCATTTAAACTAATTTTTATGTTATATAGCATAGTACGTCAAAAAAATTCAGCCATACATCAATACACATGAATATCAATGTGGCCCAAAGCAAAGAAATCACAAATACCATCCACCTACTAGTCTCTAAGGCATGATTAGTGAAAAAACTATTTCAGAAAAACAGCCATCATCATCTCCATTTATAGCAGTTAATTCAATAGTCACTCTCACCACAGGTTTCAAAGATAAACCAAACTAGAGAAAGCAATGCATACTCACAAATTATAAAGCATGTCGGCCATGTTGCTACGGTAGTACAAAGCATTTCTATAGGCGCTTTCAGCTTCAGAAATTTTGCTCTGACTCTTCAGAACATTTCCAAGGTTACCCCATGCTGCCAAGAAGAGAAAGAAGTATTCAGGCTGAGCATCAAAACAATTATACAAGACATAATATCAGGCCGCCAGGAAGTACCCCAGGGAAAGAAAACCTTCATAAAATATTTTTAAGAAGGAAAATTTATTTTCTTTCTACTCCAACATTTCATCAAACCAGGAGATTTATTTAAATCTCAGCCTAAAAATCAAAGCCTAAAAAAAATTAATTATTATGTGTCAAGGCTGATCTACAGATACAGTTCATCACAAAGCCAAGAACAACAATATCTTAAGATCACCTTCAAAGACTTCATGCTCTTTCAAATTTCGGGAAGGGTCTGCATGGCCTGAAATTATTGTATACTTAGTGAACCAGACACTATAAGAAATCACCTTAAAATTAACATTTCATTCAAATATGAAAAAACTGATAAATGACATGGAAGAACTGGGGATAAAAAGCAAGATAACTAAGTAAGATCAAAGCTATAAAGAGGGTTAATAGTCATCAGAACATATCAGTAAAACATTATGCTTCTTAAAACAGTTAAGTTTATATGGTTTATTCATGTTTAATGTTCTTTTATATCCTTCTTGCTAATAAATTCATTTGTGGGGAAAATCACTATTTCAGTATTTCCATACATAATGTTAAAAAAAATCAGTATTTTTCTGTATGCCCTTTATTTTTCACCCCAAATAATCATGATTTCTCAGAATTAAAAATAACCAAAGGCACACCATCAACAGCTGCCCATGTAGCTTGGCTGTCAAGCAGACCTATCTCTCAAAGCTGGATGCTTCTCTCGTCTTCTTTCCTTCCCAAAGAGATAGGGTGTCAAGTCCTGAAACCAGAGTCTGTCTCAGCCAGAAGACAGGGATAAGAAGAAGGTTTCTGTGTGTCAAGATATTTTTATTTGGATAATTACTGACTGTATCTGAAGAATGAAAGGGGTTTGGGGGGGGTATCAATTTTTAATGCATAAAAAGTATAGAATCTTTCAGTCCCAAATGTGCCTATGTGCCCTGTAATTTAACACTCTGTGACTCAGTTTACTCATCTGTAAAATGGGAAAAATAATTAGTATCTCCTGTGTTTTGTGATGAGGATTAATCGACTTAATATACGTAGGATGTTTAAGACAGTGCCTGCCACATGGCAAACACTCAGCAAATACTTGCTATAATCATTAATATTATTGTGGTTGATGCTCTTTGCAATTTACCATGTCAAGTATTGCTTATAGAAATAATATCAAATATAATGTATTTTACGCCCTTATGTTATCTACAGAGAATAAAAATCTTTCATATTTGGAAAGTCATATACCTCCTTTTGCCTCTAATGGAAAACAGAGGAAAAGCACTGTACTTATAATTATCCAGCACCTAATAATGCCACATACCACATCACACACTTGAAATGTATCATCTCCCTAAGCTCTCAACACAGTCCCGTAAATAAATACCTCATCCACAGAGTGGATGAGGAAACAGACTCAGAGACACTTAAGAACTTGCCAAGTTAATACAGGAGTATTAGAGCTGGAATTTCAATCCAAGTCTGGCTGCTTCCAAACTTTTTCCACCCTCCACCGAGCATTTTCATATCACATTTCATTTTTCACTGCAAACCAACATTCACACACTACAATTAGGCCATGGCATTATAAGTCCATAGAAAGTTGAGTCCTTAAATTGAAAGATAAAAGTTAGTTTAAAATATTATCAAATTCAAATACTAAATTCAATAATATTAAATATAAAGTAGGAAAAACATATAATAAAACAAATTATAATTATCTGCAATTTAATAGGTATAACACCACATATATTTTATATCTAGCCCCCACGACCACCACCAAATTAATAAAGTATGGCTCTATGGAAACCTCTAATAGCCAGGCTGTTTTTCAACCCACCTCACCTCTCCCAAAGCTCAGCTTTGATTGTGACATTAGTAAATTAAAATATATTTACACTGGAATCACTCCAGAAAAATGCATCCTAATATTAATTTAAGCACCAAGAAAACATCATTATAATGCTATCTGATCTAACCCATAGTCTTAGAACACAGATCCTGAAAGAAACATTATAGCAAGGAATTATTTTGCATATTTTAGGGCATATTTCCAGAGGAACAGATTGACATTTTTTTCCAGGTACTTATACCTCAATTAAATAATAAACTAACAAGTGTTTCTCTTGTTAATCGTCACAGACATATAGTTAAGTCTAGGATATATGTTTACTCATTCAGTTGGTTGTTCATTTACTCATCCATAAATGTACTCATTTATTAAACAGATATTTGTTAAGCACCTATTTTGTGCCAGGAACTTTATTAGGGGCTGGGCACTTAGAATGGTACCTATATACAAGTTCCCACCTACTCGGAGATTATGTTTGAAGTGAGGGGTAAAGTGGAGGGAGGACGAGAGGACCACACAATAGAATAAATGAATTAACTTCAGAAAGTGATAAGTACTACAAACAACATAAAACAAAGTGAGGTGGAGTGGATGAGACAATTTATATAGCAATATCTCAGAAACAGGGAAATGGGTGTGACCTCTAAGGACTGAAGGATAAGGAGCCAGCCTTGCAGGGATCCGTGATTCCAGGTAACAGGAATAGTAAGAGCCAAGGAGCTAAGGTGGCTTCCTCCGGGACAGGCAGCAGAGAAGATGGTTTTTCAGAGTGAGATTACAATTTAGAAGTTAAAAATCATCGGCAAGGTTATCTGCGGCAAAGCCACAATGTGATACTAAGTTTCTTGGATTTTGTCCAAATGGAAATCTCTCACACCTTTTTGATGAAGTCACTGCCCTGGATGACTTGGGGGAAAAAAAAGAAAATTCCCAAATTAAGGATATATTTTTAAAACAACTTTAATTGCTCATAGATAAGAGAGGAAGGAAGGAAGGAAGGGAGGGAGGGGGGTAGGGGTAGGCTTTGATGTCCTGAGCTCATCTGACACTCACCACCAGGCTATTTTATTCTCCTATTGTACAAACACAGTCTTACAGAAGATCAGCTTGAGGGTTACTCTGAGATCACGATAAATGAGACAAAGCAAAATCACGTCAAAATTTTACTAAACATGAAAAAGAAAAGGCCACTGTACAACCCCCAAAATACAAACATCCCCCTTTCTTGCTAAATGAATGACTTCTTTATCCAGTCATAGAATTATCCCAGCATCCAATCTAGAGGACACACCTGCTTCCTTAGACCCTCTCCCAAATGACCCAACCAAAGTCCAAATCCTATGATAGGACATATAATGAGATACCCCAGGGTCCCCACAGTGTAGTGGTCTCTCAGCTCAAGGAGTAATTAAGCCAATTTCTTTCCTACCAGTGTGCTCCTGGTGGTCTTTGGCTGAAAGGCACTGACATAGAGGATTTCGTCTAACTCAGATATGAAAACAATTTCTTTACAAAATCCCTTCTTCCTTGGATAATTGTTCTTTAATACTGTTTTTAACAAAACAGATTCTAGGTTTTTTAAGTAAGAGCTGCCAAAACTAAGTGTAAAATTGTTACATACTTCTTTTTGGTGTGAAAACTGCTGTCACTATTTCCATACTTTCAAATTTAAATGTGATTGATTTTTGCATCAGTGCTACCAAAACTCAAGGCTAACATAAAGATCACTTCTAAAAATACAAAGCTATCCTATAGACTATGACTTAAAATAAAAAATCCTATTAGTAGTCACCTAAATAGTAATTCTTTTCATAAAAGCTGTTCATTTACCATGTTTCAATGATGAAACAAAAAGTGAAAAAAAATCATTGTTGAATTGAGAAATCATTTAAAATCTAGCTATGACAGATATATCATAGTTTAAAGGAAAATACATTAAAGTGAACTATAAAAAGTACATCTTAAAAGCACTAATGTGATGATTTCACATCTATATAATTAACCTATAGAATTAATCAGTGTAGCTATGGGTTACTTTTCTTATCTATTACTTGATAAATTTGATCACATTACCAAGTCAACTTTTTTATATCAGATCAATTTTTAAATCTAGCTGGTCTGACTACTTGAAAGTGTCCAAACCAAAACTTGAAAAATAAGGAATGTTGCAAGGCTCATGGACAGGACAATTTAACATTATAGAGATGTCAATTCTCCCAAAGTTAATCTTTAAATTCTATGTAATTCCAATCAATATTTTAGCCTCATTTATTAACGAACTCAAAAAAATGTATTCTAACCATAAGAGAAAAATGAAACTGGATTTTTATACAATATTCACCATATACAAGGGGAAACTACAAATAGTTTTAAAAGTTAAATGTGAAAAGGTAAAGCTAACAGAAGAATATGTAAAAGAATAGCTCTGTGGAAGGGAAGGGAAAGGGACTTCTTAAAAAAACCTCCAAATATAACTCTAAAGGTAAAAAGCTGATGAATTTGAGTATCTCAAAATGAAGGACTTCTATTTATTGAAGGACACTATGGACAAAGTTAAACATGCATTAAAACAGCAGAAGAAGAAATTTCAGACATCTAAACAAACCAGAGATGGTACTTAGAAAATAAAAAGAACTCCTAACAAAGCAACAAGCAAAAGACAAGAAATCTAACAGAGGGGGGAAGAAAATAGGATAAGGATATGAACAGGAATTTACAAAAAGGGAAACCAAAATAAATTAAAGCATTTTAACTAATACTCAAATTCCTTAGTAACCCAGAAAAATGCAAATTATAACAATAAAATTTGAGATTGGCAAAAATTAGAAAACTGGGTAAAGGCAAGTACTGGTGGGGATGTGGGGAAGGGCCCTGGGCACTGTGGGTAGCAGCATGGCCTGGGGCAGCCATTCTGTTACTCAGTCCAATTAACAAATGTCATTGACTAAGTCAAGGATAAACCCTGACCAACAACCCCACTCCCAGAGAAATTCTCACCTAAGAGCACATGTAAAAGGGTGTTTAATGCAAGCCTCTCAGTGTTGGCTGACAGTGGGAAGGAAGATCTGTCTATCATGGGGTAC